TTTAGTGTACTGACGCTGTGGTCCTCTCATGAAAAACGGAGCGCACCTACGTGTGCTGTTTATTCCGCTCATAGAAAAGAGAAGAAAATCACTCGGTTTCATCTTGGATAAATCTGACATTAGAACGCCCTAGTTTACTCTTTGTAAAGTCATTTTTGGTCGCACACCAGTCTGAGCACCGTGGCCACCAACAGCCGCTACCGCAGCCAGCTATGTGGGGTGTTCGGGGAACATCAGTAAATTGTAGCGCCTATCGATAAGAAAATGTTCAGCACATCATATGTGTTGCCTGTGACAATGTGAGAAGTGCGAACAAATGAGAAAGTTGGATACACTGGTAAAAAAAAAAAAAAAAAAGTTGATCTGGTGTCATGTGTGGACTTCTGTGTGGTGTGAGCATTGTTCGGTAACTGGCTACATATGCAGTGACGTATGGTGAGGCTCTAACTTGGCTCCTTGCCGATGGAAAAGAAACCGGTTCCAAAATTGGAACCAACTAAACACTGGCCCTAGCACCAGCACTGAACTAGCACCTGGTGCTTCTTGGTGGAAAAGGGGTATTATGTACCTTGGGAATATAATTAAGCTTAAGCATGTCAAATAGGGCAAAGTATTCTGTAACCAGCTGCATTTTCTTTGTGTTCATTGTATTCTTCAGGTAATATACCTTTACTAGTGCCAGGCATTAAAATGAACAAGAAATCGAAAAAAACAAGGGTGGTCTAATCATTTTTTCCATGATTGTTAAATTTTTGATTTTCGCCCTCCAAACAAACAAAAAAAAATTTTTGCCTAGAAAGCCATTGTCAAGGTTCAGTATCTCCAGAAATATTACTACCGCAGTCATAAAATGTAGTGAGGAAAATTGTTCCCAGCAATCCAAATAACTGAGTGGTGTCAGCACTGGCCAAATATTTAGGGTCCAAGCACCCAAAAGTTCATTATTGGCCCTTTCAAATGAAAAAAAAAAAAGTAGCATTTTTTAACGGGGGATGTTTCAGGGCACAAGGAAGTTCTTAAAGTGTGTATATAGATGGCTCCATATTTTCTACTAAAAATTGTCTTTTGAGGCTTAGAGGCTGAACTTTTGAATCTACCATTAGTAGAGTATATATGATTTAAATGATAAGTATAGCACAAGTATGGCAACCCAAGGTTCCAGTCTTTTACTGTTATTACATGCCAAAATAGTGATTTGGACACATTCATCAGTCTACAAAAACTGGCTTGCAATAGTGTAACTTTGCTAATTAAATGTGCACAGTTAGAAGTTGCTTCCCTGTTGTTTTACTTTGAAATTTAACAAACATATGAGACTTTTTTGGCCTACTGAATATTTCCATAGAATAGAATAGAAAAATACTTTATTTATCCTACATACATTTATACACTTAGGACACTGCACACTGAACAGACAAACTGCTGTTAACACACATCGCAATACTTCTGGACATCTTTCAGTCCGCACTCTTCCCCATAATTGTGGTTGCATGTACTGAACTAGACCAAGAAATATGTGGTATTTCTATAGTATGAATAGTAATTTTACTCAAACTCGAAATAAAATATTATAATACTTTGAGATTCTAGTTCTAAGCCATAATCATCAAAATAATATAGTGAAATATTTTACTGTGTAATTAATATACAATATATAAAAGTTTACCTTTCTAAATTAAATTGCAAAAAAAACACCCAAACTTTTTCACAGTATTCAAAATCTTTGAGCTGCACTTGTAGACCCCTTTGCACACTAGTTTTAATGGTCCTACACTCCACATCCCCATTTTGGCTAGTCAAAATAGCAAAAATCTCTACATTTTCATTCCATATTGTTACACATCAAATTCTACTGATGTTGGTACAATGTTTACCAAAGACTGTATTTTTAAAATGGAGAAAATATGGATACATTCATATATACGCTGACATAAACTTTCTGAGACCCCTATATCACCCTTGTTTGAAAATTGTGCCCTTTTTTAAAATTCATGTTCAAGGAGCGATAATTAAAAATGTGGCCATTTAGATCTGCTGGAAATAATTTTGTCAATGTCTTTACCAAATTTTATGGCTGTGGGAGTTATATTTCTAGAGATATTGAACCCTTAAAATGGCAACTTGGGAAGTTGTGATGTTTTTTTTTGAGAGTAAAATTACAAGGTCTGAAACCATATGGATTTCTCAAAATTCTGCCAAAATGTTTTACAGAACCAAATCCCAAATAAGTAAACTCTGAACAAAATCTGAGACAGGCAATTGATACAGACTTACCCAAGAATACTCTTAATATGACATTGAGTCTGTAATAGTTCTGTAATAGTTCCTTGTGTGTATGCAGCAGGGAAGCAAACTCCCTTGTGTTACCCCAGCAGCGTGACATCAGCTCGGGCCATGATGCTTTTCAACCTAGGCAGTGCTTACTGCTTGAGGAGCGAGTATGAGAAGGCCCGCAAGTGTCTGCATCAGGTAACCATGGAAACAAATATTGTATGTGACTTCAGCAAATCTTGGAAATGTTCAGAGTTGTAAGTTATATGTACGTTATAAATGCAACCCTTTCTGGGAGGCAGGGTTTACAACCGATTAAATGCGTAGCATGATGTAACACATTGTGATCATGAGTCATCAAATTTGCAGGTTCTGCAGCTTTAAACGCTAACCCTGCTAGCATGCTTTAGGTGATGGTACACTAATAATTTAGAGGTCATCTAATTGTAATTTGTGTAATCTTCATCAGGCAGCATCAATGGTGAACACAAAGGAGATTCCACCTGAAGCCATCCTGCTGGGAGTGTACCTAGAGCTACAGAATGGTGAGATCTCTGACACTCACTGACACTCACTCTGTCTCTGTCCCTCTCTCTCTCTCTATATATATATATATATATATATATAAATAAATAAAAGTTACGTTTATCTTTTTAAATACAATTGCAAACAAACCAAAAGTTTTTCACAGTATTCAAATTCTTTGAGCTGCGCTTGTAGACCTCTTTGCACGCTAGTTTTAATGGTCTAGAGTCCACATCCCCATTTTGAGGAGTGTGTACACACACACTCCTCAAGAGAGAGACAGATACAGAGACCATTGGAGCCTAGTTATACATTGTTGCAGTAATTGTAGATCCGTCTGTCATTGTTTTTTATCACCATGTTTTTTGTAATCTATCTCATCTATGTATCCATGTAGATCATATATCGAGCATATATCATAGTACCAGGTAAAAGCTTGGACCCACATATTCATTCAGGGGTCTCTTTCTTTTACTACATTCTACAGTGTATAACAGCATTAACGCCATCAAGACAGACATAACAAATAGAACTATATAGTGAGGTAAAAAGTGTAAATAAACCAAATTATGTTTCATATTCACGTTTCCTCAAAGTAGCAACCTTTGGCTTTGATAACAGCTTTGTTCACTCGTATCCCGTTTGCTTTTTTTTAAGTACATTTGTGTCTTATTTTAGCATTTTCCACTTTTTATATTATCTAAATCTATAGCAATGTCAGTTGAAAACTGTCAAAACAGATTTATTGGGATATGTGAGTGTCCACCATGCTTATTTTGTGTTATCTGTTTACTGACCATTGAAAAGGCTGCCAAACAAATGAATGCCTATCAAAGCCACAATTACAGCTCCTCCTCCATGCTGCACAGTGGAAACCACACTTGCAGATACAGTATTTTTCTCTTTTTTGCACAAAGACACAGTGAAACAATCCAACTAATCAGACTCTAGTCCAGATTTCCACTGATCTAATGTCTGTTTCCTGGTTTAGACAGTTATACCATATATTACACAGCAGTTACACCATGAAGGCCTAATTTAGAGTCAGGCCTCCACAGTGAATGTTGAGATAAGTTGGCTGCTTAAACTTTGTCGGGTACTAGCTTAGTTGTACTCATGGCCCTTTGCAATGTGTTTCTCATTCACCCATTCACACACACATACAGTCATACAACAATGGCAACAGACAAAGAGGCAGCCTTTGGGAGCAACTTTGGGCTTAGTGTTTCATCACAGTGGTTTTTGAGACTGTACTTAACTCTGAATATAAGGTTAGTGACTCATGGCTTATGAAAAAGGTGTGCTTAATTTGCATTATTTTTGTATGTCATATCCATATTTAATGGTAAATACAAGTATTGCATCAGACTCTGTATCAAATAATACTCACAAATTCATGAAGGTCCTGATCAGAGTCAAAAGAAACTGGTTGCGATACCCTGATTTTATACTGCTTTGGCTTGCCTCTGTAACCACTGAAAGCTCTGCTGAGCTTTGTCTGGTCACACTCGAGTTTCTCTCTATGATGCGTTTTATTATCTGTTGTTCCTTTCAGTGTGTGTAATGGGTTACGCCTGGAATATAATCCCTGAATCCATGTTGTGTGTCCTCAGGAAACACTCAGCTGGCCCTGCAGATCATCAAACGGAACCAGCTGCTGCCCATGGTAGTCCAGAGGGTCTCCCCAGACTCCCGCAAGAAACCCATCCAACCCTTTCAGTCCGTCAATCCCATCCAGTTCTCATCCTTCACACAAATTCAGCGTAAATAAGTCATCTCCAACCACCCCATTCCACATACACCACCCACCCTTTCAGAGCCTGAACATATATGGTGCGGCTTCCCCTCAGCATCGAAACTGTATGTACTGCAGGTGTGTCTGATGACCGATGGGGAGAAAAGAACTCCAGCTGCAGTGGTGTCCAGTGACTGAGACCACCTGGCTTTTTATTTCCATTTGAATGAGGAATGAGTGTGTTGTCTGAACAATAAAAATAAATTTTATTTACTCTATGAAATGTGTGACATTTCCTCTCCTTTTTGCCATGCAGGCTGTGAAAGCCACAGTGGATGTTAAATGGATATTTTGATAATGTTGTGGCATTTGAGCTGAACACAAAAGGTTATTACAATACTGACTGAGATTCAGCAGGGTGTTACTGAAAGTTATGTCAGAATCAGAGAGATAACTGCTTAACCATCAATCCAAAGCCCAGTGTTTTTTCACATTTATTAATAAATTAAACAGTCCACAATTAAATACTAACTTGTATTTGAATTCAAATCTATATGATGAAAGTACTTCACCTCCATAACCTTGTTTTAGATGGCTAACTGACAGCATGAATATGGGTTCATAAATACCGATGTGTCAAATTTGGTGTCAGAACTGCATATGAAATTTCCAAAATATCCATAACAGCTCTATCCAGAGCAACACATCATCACACTTAATTCACAAGCAGTTGTCCACAGTCCCAGTTAACACCGTATTCTCTATGCAAAACAGATGACACAAATTACTGGGCTGAATTTGTGACAAAACACTGTATGAACTCTATAGATGTTTTTGGATTGTCTCTCCACAATCAGTTTCTGATCACATAAATAACAGTCATGTTCTCACACAGTTATGGTTTCTTCTAGACAAAAATACTGCATTTGATACTTCTACAGTGACAATGTTGACTTTTGGGCATTCGTATGACTTTTAACACAATAAACACTTTTGCCTGTCTAGTGTAAATTTACCTGAAAATCCTAACTATGTGCATTGATTGTTAGTGACTATTTTAGTTTTGTGCCTTTACAAGTACTATTTCATTATTTTTCAGTGCACGCTACACAGAAACAATAAATACTGACTTTGTTAAACCACAAAGCCTCAACTCTCATCCTAACAGACACACCAGGTGGGCGGCCACCCATCTCCACATTCTTTTTGCCTTATTTGACAACAGGATAAAGTGCTTCTTATTGGATGTGCCCACTCTGGTCGGCTTGAATAGGTTCTCTAGGGGTTCCTTGAAAACTAGCAAATCAAAACTTTTCTGACTTTGAATCATCTTTGTGTACAAAATGTGCTGTGGAAATTAACTTGCCTTGCAACCTCCTGACATCAACAAATGAGCCTGCTAAGTGTATGTATTTCTTGTCTGAACAGCATTAAAATTGAAAAAATATCTCTTAGACTTGAACTGACTGAAATCCTGCAGGTTTTCTTCATGACCCTCTAGATCAGCTCTTCCAGTCCCAGGGAAGATAAAGGTCCCCATCTTGCATGACTGAGTAGAAGTGAGATACGCAAATAAGTAGGCCCTGCATTAAGGGGGAGTGCTGCTCCACCAGCCTTTTACAGCACAGGATCATCTGGCTGGAGCTGACACTAGGCTCCTTGGTCAGACTCCTCAGAGACAGACTCTGGAGACACAGCTTCACCACAGCCTCCTCCTCTGCTTGCAGCCTTTACACACACAAAGTAAATGAGTCAGCAACAATCCTGATGAACCAGTATGAGGTCTGGTGTCTTTTGGAACAAACAGTCATGATGAGTATCTGCCATGAGCAGCAATGATCATCACACAGCAACTAAGTGGCAGCACAATAAGGATTTTGGATTATCTTGCCTTTATGTTCATTTTGTGTTATGTCACAACACATTTACATAGTTTCACAGTTCCATTGCAGGTTATGTAATTATCAAACCATGCAGCAAAGCACTGAAAATACTAAATGTTACTGGAAAAATAATGAACTGTATCAGGGTTTTTATTCATTCAGGTTATTTTATTTCATTCATGTAAATGTAGAATTTTCAATACCAGTTTTACAAAACAAATGCACTGTAACCCAAACTACTTATACACATTTCATGACTAACAAAGAAGCAGAAAAAAATTCCTCAATGGACAGCTTCTTGAATTAATCAATCCAATAATTTTGTCACTCAGTAACTCATAAAATGTATTATGTAAACACTTTTGCAAATAGAAACTTACTTAAGACAGTCTTGGCAATATTTTAAAGGGGCACAAGGTAAAAGGAAAATTAGTGTATTAAATTGTGGATCACGAAAATCTTAATGTCACAGGATTTCTTTACTAAAATGTGCTGGACACTTAAGTATAAAGGGGCACTCCCTTTATAGATGCTGGGTTCACGGTGTGAGTACATAATACATAATACACATGTGCATTTTCTAAAAAAACAACCAACCTAGTGGCAGTAAGAAGAAAAGTTCCTTTGTTTGTTGTATATGGCTAAACAAAAAAAGTTTATAAAAGAAAACTGTGTGCATGAGAATGCCAGTGATTTTGGCACATGTAGTAACAGCTGTGGACTTCAGTTACAAAAATGAAGACTCATGACTTGAACTCTGCTCTAAGAGATGACTTGCTTGAGACTTGCCAGCAAAAAGCTGAGGAGACTTGGTGTCTCAAAATTATTCTTTAAAGTTTATTTTTTTTTGTAGTTCTGCCAGAATATCTCCTGTTGCTATGCATGTAATTCTGAAGCACATATTTTTTATTTGCTATTACTTGCTCTTAATTATTAAAAGAGCTAATTTTAAAAATACGTATTTATACCATTTAGTATTAGGCACATATTTAGGATTCAATATTCTTAATAATCTTCATTTGTTCACTCTAGTAACTACTTACAAAACATGTCACCTGTCCTTTATAAAAGATGAATTATTTTAACTGCTGGATTACTGAAACCGTTTTAGCATCCTGTATAATGCTTCAAAATCCTAGTGCTTCTTACCAAAGCTGAATCTTGTTAGTCCAGTTGAATATAGCACAATACATGAGCATGAACTTTTCCTTTCCTCTGAATTTAGGATTTTTGTTCAACCTGACACAAGCAAGTGTTCCCTTGGAGCAATCTAAGCTACCTTTGCAATATCAACAACATAAGGCTTAAGTCAGAGCCTTTGTAAAAATTTGCACTCAACCCTGCAATCAGTATGAATGGACATTGCTTCTGTAAAATATTAGCACTACTTGAAAAACAAAATGTGATTGACAACTTCCTTAAAGTTCTAAGTAACTAAACTGACTGTAAAATGTGTTAATTAACTAATACGAAACATAGTTTACTACAAAAAAAATAATCATTTAAGTCAAGAACTGGTAGTTAATCTTCACCTCCTCTGATGTTTATCATTTTACTATTATATCAGTTCAAATGTGATCCCTCACACATCACGCTGCCCAATTATTACAGCTTTGGCCCAAATGTCACATTCAGGATTAGCATGGAGATATATGTTACAATCTAATCAGAAGCAACGGTGTATAGAAACACTAAAACGTACCACAAGACGGAAACTCTTCTGACTTTTGGACAGCTTTTAAATGCAGACAGGATTGCAGAACATTTCTTGTTCCTGAAACTTTACAGCAGGAATTGCTCTTTTGAACTCACTGTTTTTTGCGTTGGATGCGCTGTCTGGCCTCAGGGGCATAGTTCTGGAGGAAGGCCTGCAGCTTGGGAGGGTCACAGTTTGTGGGAATAATGAAGTGCCCCATCTCATGAAGACTGGGTTTGGAGCGGTCACTGGTATGGACACAAACAACAAGTAATGTCTTACTAAAAGTAAAATGAACGTGTTTGTGGCTTTTAGAGGGTAAGGTCACTGCATACTTCTCCAACAACATAGTGAGGTCCTGCAGGCTCCTGGGGTGTAGGTGAAGGCGTTGGGACATCAGGCTCTGATGGAAGGTTCGGAGAGTGCTGTAGTGCTCGGTGATAGGCTGGACTGGCCCCAGCCTTTCCATGTGGACCACTTGAGTCCCACCCAGGAGGAGACTGATCCTTTCCTTCAGCCAGTCTGTCTGGTGATGCAGGCTACGGTAGCTGGGCAGCTGCTCTAATAGCTGGGAGGACATGGGTAGAGGACAAGTTAGAAAACAAAGAGGAAAACAGTGAACATGTGACAGCATAAGGACTGCAGCTGCATTACTTTGGTCCACTGATGATGAACATCCATGGTTCCCAGCATAACATGTCCAGAGGCATTCATCCCTGACTGGTCAGCGAACACAATGGTATGTCCTGATAGGTGGACAGGAGAGCTAATTAAATTATATCCATCTGTGCCAGTCCATTCACTGGTCTTAGGCAGAGAAATCTGTTATAGAAAGTTGCCTGCGGTACAAAAAGAAGCTGCACAATATTTGAGAAATGTTCAGGTTATAAGGAAAAGGTCACAAAAAGTTAAAAATATACTATTGTGATTTATTTAAAACTATAGTTTTTTTTTGTTTTTGTCAACATGAAATACACTGTACAGTACATGTTTTAATATACATAGATAAGAAATCAGATTCTAAAAAAGTTTCTTCTAACTTTAGAATTCTGACCCACTCAAATCTAATCTGGCTGTGACATAACTTTCTTACTTCAGCTGGGATGAGATTCTTTACCTTGCAGGTGGATCAGGGCCTCAGGATTCTGCTGAGATAGTCGGACCAGACTCTGAAGCTGACAACACCTATGGGCCACTCCCCAGTTGCGTTGCCACCTGCACCACACAACTGACATCATCAACGCAGAAATATGTTCACTACTTCTTAGTAGTTCATGTATAGTCTAAAACTAGCACCCTAAAGAACAATTCAGTACAGTTTTACCATTACCAGGACACTTCAGAGTTAACTTCTGACTGCCTATTCCCAAACCTTAACTGCACATAATAGACACATTTAGTTAAAATACAGTGTTGTTGCCATTTCTTTAGCGGCTCCCACAGTGTTGAAACAACATGAGTAAGCATACCTGATATCAGCTAAATTAAATTTGTAACACAGTTCCTTTTTTAGTCTCTTCAGCTCTTCTCTCCGAGGAAGACTAGCATTGTGTTTCTTTGTGGCCTCAGGCTCGTTGTTTCTCAGCCACAAGCTGACAAAAGATTAGACAATATGAGACCACTCTGAGCTGACTGAAATAGACAAGTCCACATAGGATTTCACTACTCATTTAATAGATTTTAAATGTACACAACAAAGTTTTAAATCAAACAATGCATTCTATAAAACTGTTGTAATTGCTATCTTTTGTGGTGATAAAAGATATCAAAATAGAATTTTCACCAACTCTGTCATTCATCTTAGCCCTATGCAGCTTTTAAGTGACTTCTAGTTAATTATTTTGGTTTTAAAGCTCATTGCTTCACTTGGTACGCTCTTAGCATAAAGACTAGAGGATGGACAAACAACTAGTCTTGTTCTAACACCCCTTAATTCCACCTGTTATATCTCTACAGTTAAATCAGCACACAAACAGCATTTTGAGGCCATGTGTTTTACAATTTAACACACTTCTGTCTCTACCAAAACAGTACTCAAGTTTGAAACCAACCTCTACACGATGTACCGTGTATAGTTCACAAATAATTGTGAGTTGAGTTCTACTGTCACTAACCTGAGTGTAGGCTCCACTCTCCTAGCCTGCTGCAGCTCCTGTTCATGGTCTCTGAAGCCAGTGAAGGTGTAGTAACTTTTATCCCATTTGATTTTCCTGTAGAAAGGCAACTGTGCCTCAGGTGGGCTTTTTGATATCTCTGTACTTGCTTTCAGTGCCTTCATGTGGTCCACAGGTAGACTGCAGGACGTCAAGACGTTCATCACTGTGCTCAAGACGTCATTTGTGTGCAGGGTGAAACTCACTGAGCGGAATCCTGAGAACCAGGCAGAGGGTATAAAATTTCTCAAACAGAACTCAACAGTATTATGCTCAGTACCAATAGAAACTGACCTGAGGTGAGGGGATCTGGCTGCTCATCACTGCTATCCTTTGTGTCCCTTACATAAAAGGTGAGCTTCATTGGCTGAACTGAATGTGATCCAGGCTTTTGCAAGTTTTCCAGATAGCCATTTAGCCTTTTTAATGAATTCTCATTCACATCCTGTAAAACAATTGTTCCCAAATATTTTACACCATGTCAGCACCAATTTCAATATAGCAGGCTGATTTTAATGATTATCTTTTATATTATATTGTATTACGCACGTCTGTTGATAGTCAAGTAGCAATAAATCTGACAGTTTTATTCAAACGTCCCAAAAAGGCTGGAATGTATCTGCATTTTTTGAACATTTTTCAAATCTTTTTATCACTTTCTCTGGTAGTCATTATTTTTATGACTGCTCAGTGCCCAACAAAATAGAACATTAAATGGTATAGAGTAGGTGCCTCTTCTGTCTCTTCAGCCTATGCCTGTTGCTATACACGCACATACTACGGACTGTCCCAAAATAGCCTTTGAACTATTACTTTTCAAATCAATCCCTTCAGATTTACAGATATATAACCTAATACATATTTAGATTTATTGCATTTCTGAAAAAATTATGTATGTAAGGGACCTACCCGTTCTCTGGGGTATTGACCGAAGAAGTCTGGGTGGACTGCAAGATAAAATGGTCTGAGTGCATTGACAGCCTCTGCCCCTGACAAAGTTCTCTGATGAACTAAATATGTAGCCACATGTTTCCTGTGTAGCCTACAAAAAAAAAGGACATGGATGTTAGCTATTCTTTAAAACAGACAAAATGTTAGTGGTGGCTCTAAATACTGTACAGTCAGTGGTGGAGGTGAGATGGAAATAGTCACATTTACGTTGCGTAACTCGTGCTTAGTGGTTATTGATCGATAATGTATTATTTGCCTGAAAATACTACAAATTGTAAGCCCAATGTGTCATCACCCAAATAGCTTTTCCTAAAATGTTTTTAACTTGACTTTTTTATTTGATGAATACATTAAATTACTTTAATAAAACCCCATCAACCATATTATATGAGATGAAGATGACTGTAGTCCAATACAAGACTTTATTCCATGGTGCCAAACTACTTTGAGTTCCTGGCAAACAAGAAAGTGCAGCTGGTGGTTTACCTGGGACAAAACATCCTTTGATCACACCTGTTAACATCCAGGGAATGGACATAGAGATTGTTCAGACATATGCATGTCTGTTCTCCACCTGGGATCCTGCTCTATCCCATCACTCCACCCTAACCAGTCGAGGCAGATGGCCACCGTCCCACTGCCACTAACAGTTTGCTCAAGGGGACTCCGAAGGAAATGCTGGTTTTGTTAGGTATGTCTGTACAGATTTTGCAGGGGTTCACCTTACTATGTGAAGTGTGTTGAAATGATCTATGCTGCAAATTGGCGCTATAGAAATAAAATACAATTGTATTCATTATAAATACCAGTGTGTTCACTTCAGACGGCCAACTGAACTGGCCTAGTGACAAAGACCTTGTGCAAAAAGGGAGAACTAACTGTAGCTGCTGAGGAAACTAACATCATTTTGTCTGTTTTGTTGCTACAGAAACTGTACTTTTAGCCGCTATCTGTGAACACAACACACTTTACCTTTCATCTGATTCTGTCCCCTCAAATTTTATTTTTATATATAATTCTGTATTGTAACTAGGAAGTGCAATCCCAATTATTTACCATTTCTTCAACATCCAATATCAGTCAAACTTACAATGCTGCATTATAAACTTCACTGGTCTACCTCTGTTACTGCAGCATTTTTTCCTCCTACAAACGTATCTCACTTACGTGCAATAACTGTTACTACTTCATCCTTGTGTATACAGTCATCTTAAAAAAACGTCCATCTGTATATAATGTTTTACCTTGCAATTTTGCACTGTGTGTTTCTATATTATTCTTTTGGAGCCTATCCCAGTTGACTTAGGGCGAAGGCAGGGGACACCCTGGACAGGTTGCCAGTCTATCACAGGGCTACACTTAGAGACAGACAACCAAGCACACTCACAGTCGCACCTACGGACAATTTAGTATCACCAGTATACACTATAATAAGTGCAATAAATGAGCAACGACTTTAAGCCTGGAAACAATGCTGCACTTTATTCTTGGGCATAAAGCTCAAAAATTCCAAGTTAAAATATGGAATGGCCTGTAGGCTTCCAGGACTCTGTTGTATGGAGCGATGAGACTAACTGCTTAAACCCATGAAACAGCACACTATCTGGCACATATGAAGAGAAGTGCCCACAGTCAAGCATGGTAGTGGCTTTGTCTTGTTGTGTGGGTGTTTTAGTGCTGTGGAAACTGGTTAGCTTGACTGTGTGTATGGCATCATGGATTTTATGTTTGAAAGAATGTAATGCTCTCAATTTGTAAATTGAAGCCAGACAAATATTGGATTTTCCAGCAAGACAATATCCCAAGCATATGGCCATGTCAACCAAATCCAGTACAGGAAGCTGGGAACATCATTAAGTTGCCATCCCAGTGCCTGGACGGATGGATGGATGAACACTGTGTTTTTAAAATTCACACAAATATGCTTCATTTAACTAACTAGCTACCAGAGTTTAATTTGATATGTTTTTAAAAAAAAATTATTTATAGCACAAGAATGCCTTGTAAGTTCAGGTGGCTTAACAGGTTTGCATTGCAACTGTCATTTTCCTCACTTTATTGCCAATTTTGATTATTTTCTGACTGTTTACAGTGTATTCTTTATATTAAAGCTGTATATGGTACGTAACAGATAAATATTTTTCTGTCTTTAAGGTGTCCTATTTGAATTGTGCATTAATCATGTCACTGAGTCATCTGATTTGTAATGTAGTTTAAGAATGTACAAATTTGGGATCATTTGGTATATTTGTCCTACACTCTATCATAGCCTGACATATCAAATTAACATCGGGCTCAACTGTTCTTGAAATTTATAGCTGTAGCTAAGAGGAGCTAATGCTAATACCATGCACAAAGTTCCATCATACCTCTTAAAGTAGTGTTACCTGATGGTGCATCGCAGGAGGGCGTTGACAGACATTGCCGATGCTGCTAGTCAACAGATGAGCATTTAATCATGGCCTCTGCAGGAAGTCCATCTGCAGCCCTGGTATCAAAACTAGATACATTATTTGTTACCCAGTATCTGTCATAAGCACAGAACAGCGTTCGGCAGTATTCTTTAATTTACGGCAACTTGTCAACACTGGGCAGGAAAGAACTACATTTGCATCACAAAAATCAATTTGATATTTATCTGTTTTTGTCTTTAATCTCAGCCACAGCTGAATACAAACTAAATACCCAAGGATTGCCTGATGTTAGCTACTGAGTTAGCTAGCTATACGATCGGCATTTAGCCGTTTAGTCAAGTCGTCATTAGAGCAAAACAAATATTGGAGAGAACGGATGACAGAAAAATAACCACACTTTACTACTTCAACAGTGTTTCCTTTGTGACTACTGCAAATTACCCACTGACATCAAATCGCGAGGTACCTCTGTAGGCTCGTCTTATTTCATTAATTGCAGCCTTCTCGATCCTTGGTCCTCCGACCCGTGACCCGGAAGTCGATCTTGGTGCATCATAAAAAAAAATTTAAAAAAAAAGGACGTCTCGTTTCCGCATCCCGAGGATCGAGGAGGCTTATTGCAGGAACTGTGAAGGAGGATGCACAGGTGTATCTCTGTGCCACTACTATACTTCACACTTAATATCTGTATTAAATAAAAATAAATAAATTGTGTCACATCTGTACACTCTCGTGACATTCTACTGTGTTGTGACTTGAATTATAAGTGTTCTCAACAGGGGGAGGGGGACAAAACCCACTAGGGGGCCACAGAGAGCTGCCAGGGGGGCCTTGAGATGGCTGAGAATGTTAAGAAAAATACACAAAAAAAATAAAAAATTCTAATGACAAAATAACGAGAGAAACAAATAGTCAATCTGTAGTGCTTCATTTGTATAAACTACCTATCCCAATTACAACAAATAAATAAGGCAAGGCAAGGCAGGTTTATTTGTATAGCAGCACAATTCGCACCTGAGGTAATTTGAAGAGCTTCACACAAAAATATAAGAAGACAGATAAAATCAGTCCACAGAACATCAACACAATTATTGATTAATTACATTAAAAGCAAAGAGGTATAGGATTAGATTTGTGTCAAAATTTTTAACCATCCATCCATTTTCTATACACCGCTTAATCCTCATTAGGGTATACTCCCCAGAGTGGGATTAGAGAGGAGGAAAAAAAATAAGAAAAAAAAAGTACAGAGTGCTCATCAAAGGAAAGTGCCAGAGCAGCAATTCACACTTAATCCTAGCGGTGGGCGGGCTCTTTCATGGCGCGTTCCTGTTGGTTGTTGAGTTTTTGAGCGACACGGCCGTGACCCGGAGGTTCTTCCCCTGTTTATTTGAATTGACCTCTGGGACATATAAAGTTTTTTGAATTTTTTTCGATTCAATAAGCGAGAGAAAGACAAAGGCCGTTGTCAAAATCCAAACAAAAAATCTGGCAGCTCAAACAAAAAAAAAGAGAAGCGCAACCAAATGAGAGAGACGAAGAAGGAAGCGAGAACAAAACTACATCCTCAATCAAAATAAAAGACAGAGTTTTTGTTTTCAAGTGACAATTTTTATTTTGAAGGCTATAATTTTTTGCTTGAGTTAATTTTATTCTCTCTTAAATCCATTAGTTTTGTTTGACTTTTGATAAGTTTTGGTTAAAAATTTGGACACAAATCTAATCCCATACAACACTGTTTGCCGTCATATTTATCATACTAGAAGACATCCTGAAGCAGAAATTTGTTTCT